CTGAATAACTTGTAATATATAATTATTCACGGTATTTAGAAGAGCCCACGATAACAATATCGTGCATATTCATTACCGTGATACATCGCATTACCGAATACCGGCACAAGTCTATATAAGAGATACGATTATTTTTAAGTACTGCTCTTCTGAAACTACATAAGCTACAGTTGTGGTCAAAATTTTACATACACTTTACAGTATCTGCGTGTGTGTTCATTATTTTACCAAAATAACTGGGATCATACAAAATGCAAGATCTTTTTTCATTTAGTACTGACCTGAATAAGATATTTCACATAAAAGACATTCACATATAGTCCACATGAGAAAATAATAGTTGAATTTATGAAGGTTCAGATGCTCACTGATGCTGCAGAAGGAAACACGATGCATTAAGAGCCTTTTGAACAGAATGTAGATGTGTACATTTTTCTTATTTTGCCTAAATATCATTTTTTTATGTAGTACTGCCCTTCAGAATCTCCAGAAGATACTTACATGTTTCCCAGAAGACAAAATAAGTTCAATTTACCCTGATCTTCAAATTCAAAAGGTTTTCACCCCCGGCTCTTAATGCATCGTGTTTCCTTCTGGAGCATCAGCGAGTGTTTGAATCTTTTGCAATGTTTGTGTTTGAGTTTCTCAATCGTCCTCAGTGTGAGAGCTGGATCTCAACATCATACAGTTACTGCTAAGGGTTCAAATGTGCAGAAGATGCTGGAAAACAAAAGAATGTGCAAGACCTGCAGGATTTTTCTGAAGAGCAGTGGACAGTTTAACACACTGGAATATGAACAGCATCAGAAGAACAAGGAGGATGGAAACTTCTCAACAGTGTCAGTTCAATTATTACTGTGTCTGTGGAATTATATGCAGATATCTGTGAAAGACCTTCATCAGGCCAGGACTACATACAAATAAAATTACATTGTTATGGTCCCTCCAAATTTATTCAACAATAAATATCATGCAGGTTCTTTGAAGTAAACTTACAGTATGTATTCGGCTAGAAACTGGCAGAATAACTTATACATTAATATACATCTGCATTTGCATAACATGTTGTGCTCACTACAGTTTTGATCATTAGGGCCTTTCGCACCGCTTTAGTTCCAGAATTAAATGTACAGTACTAAAGTACTGGGACGATTTTGCGCCAACTATTTCCCAGTACCATTTAAAGAGTTGCATTCGCACCGACAGTATGTACTAAGAAGTGACGTAAGCCGGTCGACAGCGACGTCATTAGTGCGCGGCGTTCAATAACAGAAACAAAGAAGAACAACATTAACAACAGGAGGATGGAGGACGCTGTGATCGGAGCTGTGTTTTTGTTGTGTCTCGCGGGTTTCACAATAATGGACATGGAAAGTAGACGTATACGTAAAGTGATTGAAAGAACGGAAAGGAGGACTAAGAATCTCCAACGACAACTGGCAGTGCTACATTTGCTACAAGTGCCTGCACTTCAGCGTCCGTCCATCTATCGCTGTTCTCCATACTTGCAAAAAGCGGGTAGTTCCACAATTAGTTCTGGTACTATGAAAAGGTCCCCGCGGTGCAAAAGGCCCTACTATTGGGTCATTCCTTTTCAAATCAACCAAATTTCAGAAATGTTCCTGCCTCAAATGTTTGACTTTGTCCATATTTTTATCTGAAGAAAGATAAACATGTATAGTGATGAAAGCCAAGATAATAAACGTCATGGATGTATATTTAACACTTAGACATGTATGTTCCATGCAGGTGAGCGTGATTTCACCAAGTACAACATGTTCCTGGATCAACATCCTTGTTGATCCTGGAACAACATTCCAATCAACCAATCAGAATTGAGAGATAACTTTTCAGGAAATATCAGTTTTAGACTTACAATCAGGATTAGGTGCTTCTATACCCTTGTTAATCAGCTATCATTTCCCTCTGATTTTAGGAATAAATTATGGGTAGGGTTAGGTTTAGGGGTAGGGATTGGGTTAAGTCTGTATTTTTGGACAGTAATGTTGATCCAGGATCAACAAAAGATGTTGATCCAGGAACATGTCTTGGCAAAATCACGGCGACCGTTCCATGCAATTGTTCTGATTGAGGGAAACAAGCTTCATTTCTACTTTCAACGTTATTTTTTTTCTCAAGACATTTCCCTTTAAATACAGTAAGCATCAGCTGAATGCAAAGTGACCCACATTTGCTTTTTGTCCACTGAAAATGTGTGAAATTCCACTATTTACACTTGGAGCCATATTGAGATTCCAATATTGCTGGAATTTAACCATATAGAGTCTTAAAAATGAAGTTGCCAAAAAGAAAGTTTGTTAAGACCCAAAATCTAAAAGGGCATTAAAATATCTGTAAAACTTCTTGAGTTACAGGCATGCAAACTTTGGAGAAAACACTTGAAAAGTGCTTTTTCCCATTTCTGAATGGTCACCACTGGCGTGTAATGCAACAAAAATTGCTAAAGCCAATAGATTTTACTAATAGAGCTACCAATCTCTGTCAAAAAATAATGTAATGATGCTGCTATCTTTCTAAAGTCATTTTTAACCCCTGTAATCCAGC